ACGTCCAAAGTGATGTTTCTTTAACATTTTGTGTGTTATATTTATTTATTAAACATCACGTTTTTCGCACTTAAAGCATAAAATTTAATTCAATAGCAACGTCGCAAAATAATTTTTAAATGAGCATACCTTTATAAACATAGTTCGACGCGCTGGAGACAAAAAGGTTTTTCCCCTCCGTAGAGTTTTGCCATTGCTCGCTTTTAAATCGTTGAGTTTGTACTCAAAAATTCTTTAAAGTTTTACAAAATATGAAGTCGACAATAAAACAAATTCCAAATTTCAAATTTGGGATTTCAGATGCCCATATTCGCAGTAGGATTACGTCATTCAAAATTTGGATGGCTCTAGATACCGTTGTTTTATCACAATGCGAGAAATATACATACATTTAAGCAGATTTTTCATTATTTAATTTCTTCAAATATAATGCAGGACTAACATTTTGTGGCAACAGTTTGAAAAGTGGACCGACATTTATAAGAGTGTGACGCAAAATGCCAAAATGAAAGTAATAGTCGTTCAGCACTCAAATCCCTTTAGACTAAGAAAAAGAGATTTCTTAAATTTTGGCTGATTTTAAAGCTAATTTTTCCACTTTTTCTGCAACCACTCTCATCTATTAACTGCTGTAGCTTCTTTTCTGTGACTGAAGGCCATAAACAGTCAATCAGGCGTTATTCCATTGACTTAAAGGGATGATGTCAGCACTGAGCTGTCAAAGTTTATCTGTTGGGCTTCCTAAGCTGTGTGAAGTCTTACTCTAGATTTGAATTACCGGCTTCAAAGCAAGATAATTTAGAAACTCTCTTGTGATTTAAGTGATTTCTTTCGAAGATGATTTGATTTAATTTTGCAACTATGTTTAAGTGTTTCTGAGAGCTTATCGCTTGATAATTATGGAAGACCGTGAAAAATATCTAAGAAATAAAATATCATTTACTCGACTAAAAAGAAAAGCAAGTTTCATGGCAAATCAGTGCTGTAATTTGGCTTTTCGAAATCAAAAGTGTTAATTCTTCATTCAAGAAATTAAATAGGGATGTTATTTCACCACCAATAAATGATAGCAATTTAAAACTTAATGTTAGTTTTAATGTTAAATTTAATAGTCCTTTAAATTTGGATGCATAGTTACAAACGAATGACAATTTTGTTGTAAAGTTTGTAAAGATCTGAAATTAACTGAATTAATTCATCATGGTTTGAGTTCAAAATTTGAATTACTGTGCTCAAAATGGTCTTGCAAAAAATCTTTCAGAAACTCCAATATGTTTTTGTTCATTGCTATATGCAAACACATTATTCGTACAAATATACATTAGACATATCTTTGAATGTGTACCTATTATTTTCTGTCATGATATTGTATTACGGCGAATTTAAGATATTTTATACTAATAATGCTTTTGAAAATTATTAAAATTTAGATATTATTAATATACCATTTAGAAAATAAATATACTATGTACTTTATTATTAGAAACTTGTATTTTAATAACATGCACATTAAAACTCACTTTTTGTTTCAATTTTTAAAATGTGGTTTTTCACACTTATACGCATAGCATTTAAAGTATGTTAAACTTGGCATTTAGAAGCTATGTTAAATAATTTATAAGTCTGATATACTTTAATGCATTAGAGAACTTTAAGCTGAACCTATGAGTAAGATTTTGCTTGCAAGAAAAATGGTATTTTTTTCAGCTCGAGCTTCATTGGTTTTGTACAAATTTCGAATCACTTTTAGCCAATATGTTATACTTGGGTGAATGTATTTTACATTAATTAGACTTAAACTCATTTGAAATTATGTATTATTGTGACACTATTAAGAAAATAAGTACTTAATAATAGGAAAGTGTTTTTTAAAAACCTTAAAAACTTGATTTTCTCAAAACATGATTTTTTATTATTGCGCACATGATATTTTAAATAGGTTTAATGACAAGCACTTGAAATCTCACAGACTTCCTTATTCCTCGTATAATGATTATGTTTTAACTGAACCAAAATTCCTATGAATTTTTTAATATAAAAAAAGTTTAATTAGGAAAGTATTAGATACTTTATCACTGAAATACATTTTTTAAACTCAAAATAAAATGACAACTTAACCACGAAATTCTTAGTTTTTGGTTACTGCCCTAATTGGAAGATACGTTTTTAAAACTATGTAGACATTTATTGAAGTTTAAATTATTTTATGGATATATTGAAAAATATAGCTAATATCTAGATTTGCTTTGCAAAATAAATGTAAACTGCTTAAAAATGAATAATTCAAAGTTCAGTTTCAATTATCATGATTTCAAAGGAAAATTTTATTACTGCAATAAAGCTTCTACAGCAAATACAGCTACCAGAAGGCTTAATTAAAAGAAATACCTTTTAGTTTTTGTGATAAATGTTTCTTGACTTAACTAAATATGTGCACAATTTAAGATATAAAATCACTTACATGAATGAAGTTCATTTAAATCTCCGAATGATATGACATTTTTTACAATTTAAAATAAAAAAATTAATGCATAAAAAAGTGAAAAATTGTGTATATTAAAAATGCTATTTCAAACATATAAAAATTCCTGTACAATAGCTATAATTAACCAAAAAAAAAAATATAACCCCTCCCCAAAATATCCCGCTTGTTTCGAGTCTTTTTATTACATTGAAAACACTACAGTTGGACCTCAATCAAAGAGTTCTGTTCTCCTAAATTAATTGCACGTTAATTAGCTTTATTTACCTAACGGTTGTTTGGAGTGGCTTCTAATGAAAGCGGAGAAGACCTATTTAACAAACAAGAACTTCAGAGCCATCATAATGAAGCTTGAACAAATTATTGATTTCAATAAGTAAATGTTAGATTTGTTTTTGTTTGGTTGCTTGTTTTGTTTATTTAATAAGACTCTTTGTATTCTTAAATTTGAACCATTATTAAAGAATTCCGTGTTGCTTCGATTGAGATGCTCCAAATTCTGTACATACGCTTACAAAACTGTGAAAATTTCACATTAATAGTGTGATTGTTGAAATAAAAATGTTCGTTGGCATTATGATATTAAAAATATTCGAGATTTGTAGAATTCGTTTAGCAGTTTTGATATATGAAAGAAATTGACCAAAATATTTAATAAAATACCTATAATGCTTAGGTCAGTTAGACGAGCATGTGGAATTTTAAATCCAAATAATTATAAAAGGCTGTCTTAGTGCAGCTATAAATAATTTAATCAACGGAAAATATAATTTAAAAAGATAAGCGATGAAATAAAAATTAAATCCAAGGTTAACTACTTTATATATGAAGATACTCCACATGTCTTCACAAATACAGTCTTTAAAGCATAAATACTGAGATCCATGCTTATCATAATATTATTATCTTTCGCAAAGATAATTTATATTTTAGTAATAAAGTTAGAATGTATTTTCTGCCTCCATTTGTATTCATTCGTGGTGTAACGGTAGTACACTCGGCGCGTATTCGAGAGGTCTAGGTTCGAGTCCTAGTGAGGGTATTGAATATTTTCACATCGCAGCGTCAAAAGAAACCTCCTAATGATTCTATAAGGTATTATATGATATAACCAGGCGTCGGTATCGACACCAGGGGGGTTGATGAAATTTTAAAGGATGTCAATGATGATGAAGTTAGTCGATAATTGAATATGCGCCAGCAACTGATAGGCATAATCAAGATCCCACTGATTACAAAAACATTTATTTATAAAACTGATACTTAATTGCTCATTGGTATAAAGCTGCATCATATATCATGAAAGAAATAGTAGAAAGTAAATGTAAGAAAAAAATTACAGAAAAAATATTTAATGTATTTAAATAATGCACTTATTTAATAACAATACTTTTAAATATGTAATTTTTATGCAGTGAAAGCAATATAAAAAGCTAGAACGACACAAGGAAATATATTTATAAAATATGAACTACGCACAAACAGAACAGAAAATAAGACACATATTGAATTTTTTTGAAGGAAGTGATTTAAAAATTACATTAAGCGATTTTATACCAATTGTCAATAAAACTGCATTAATGCAACAAGCGTAAACATCGCATTTATTAAAACTGAATTTTTGTGCAACTTGAATTGGTGATTTTGATTCTAAAAACTTGTTTATATTTATAAAATTAAAAAATAATTATTAAAAAAATAATGAAGCATAAATTTAATGAATCATTTTTTTCAAACCTTTAGTTCATGTTCTACTTATTAGCTTCAGGTAATTTATTTGCAGTTATTTATATTATGATTATGTAGTATTACAGATATAAACATCAGGGGGTCGATGGAAAAAAAAAAACACTCCTTTATATACAAGAAAAAGTTTGGAAATCCTTGACGTCAACTTAAAAATATAGTAATAATGCATAACAACTAGAGCAAAGTGAAAAACTAAAATCAACCGCTAAAATTACGAAGTAAATATATTACATTTAGCACAGTAAAATTTAAAAAATTAATACCAGGAACGTTTAGTATCATATACTTTTGAGAACGCACTCTTTAAATCATAGGGTTACATGATATTATTGATATTCTATTCTGTTTATAAGGGGATACACCTTCGAGACGTTTTGTATGCAAATGTCTTCACAGATACCGTAACTGCGTTTTAAAGCGATATTAATTGAGAATGGTAAAGTTTAGCCATTAAATTAAGTAACGTGTTTAACATTTGCCATTGTGCTAACGAAATTATGCCAACTAATAGAAATTAAAACAAGACGAAATATATAATGGGTTTCCGCTTACTTGTAGAAAGCTGTTGTAGTGGGATTTGTAGAAATTAAATTTCCCTAATAAATGAACACTTATTAAATTTAACTAAGTCAAACAATACAGAAGGCAAATCAAACAGAGGCAGACATAAAAATGAAACAAATTCTAACTACATCGAATTATGAGTTCAATACACCTTTATTAAAATGGTCATGGTAAAAAATACGAATATTTCGAATTCTTTACTTACCTCTTGCTGTCGTAAGCCCATAAATCTTCTGCTTGTACACATTTCTCTTATTCCAAGCGTACGTAAATTTGATTTCTGGGTCAGCTTCAAACACCTTTTTGAAAAATATGCCTTCAATAATGATATTGAGGTGCACTAAACGAAGTGACGATGTTATGTTGCTAGGGGTTAGTTGCAAGTGTATAGTAGAGAGATATCCATGAGCGTGGCTGCTATGGTAAACTAAATGCAAGTCCGAACCAGGAATGGACAAGCTCTCCTGTAAGACCTGCAATGAATTACAAAAGGTATTATTTATTAACTGGTACTATTATCAAGCACTTAGTGACTTCTCAGCTTGCATATCAGTATATAAATGAATTCGCTATTAACAAATTGAGACAACGATAAAGTAAAGAATGCGTAATTTTCAAATAATATATGCCTCTTATTTTAAACATAAAAATTATTATTAAAGTTGCACAGTTTAGCGGTTGTTTGTGTATTTTCAACGGTTTTTTAAACAATTAACTGAAATTAAAGAAGCATTAAAATTGATTTCCAAGAGATTTTACAGTTAGGATTACATTATTTCTTGCAATTAAAAGCTCTGCAAACACAAAATGGCTCATGTTAATACATTTTAATACAGAGCTACGTTTTTCAAATTTCGAAGGGAAAATGTTTGTATTTTTCAAAACAAAAGTAGTGTAGGATTTTTAGAATTAATATAGCAAAGCATAATAAATACTATTATCTATAATTAAGGAACATATTGACCGTCACTGTTTTATACATAATAAAGAGCGTCAAATATTTATCCAATAAAAGTGCACATTTCGAAGACCATTAAAAAATATAAATACATAATCCTAAAAGATAACCCAACTACTGAACGGATATTCTCATCAACTTTTAAGAAACCTATCATTACTGTGAATAAAATAATAAATAACGATTTAAATATCAAAATACAATGTTCATCTCCTTCTAAGACAAATGGAGCACAAATCCAGAGGGAGAATTCTTTACAGCAATCACTTTTACATAAAAATATAAATGTATTGTGATTAGAATGAACTGTAGCTGTAATTGAATGACTGCACAATAAAGTACACAATTTATTATTATAAAAGTGGAGAGTAAGGCATACTTAGTTTCAAGAATCTAAATAATGTTCCGAAATAGGTTTAGGATTATAAATGGTTTCTGTATAATAGAAATGAAAAATTAACAAGAGTCATAACAAATGTGAAAATAAACTGAATGTATTATTAAAATGATGTTTAGACTCCGATATTTAATAAAGAAATTCCAATATTTAACTCAAGGAAAACAAATCACTTCTCTCTTCTCAATATCTGCAACTGCAATTTTAGAAAAAAATGGAAAAGAAGATTATTATAAAGTGTATTCAATTTAAAAGATTCCAGGAATGTCTCCTGGTATGAAATGGTGGAATGCTCTTCGTTTAGATTGATAAAAATGACACTTTCAGAACATCGAAATAAGACAATTGACAGACTATTTAACAGCACAAGAGGCGTTTCCATACGGTAACAGAGGAAGAAGTTATTAGCATGGTAAAATATGCACATGCTTTTAAGATAAAAATAAAGCCCCCATTAACACAGTTTATAGCTTAGTATTATCATATACGAGACTCTTAGGGATACAAATACGCACACAAACTTACTTAAGACAAAAGCTTATGATAATCTAATGATAGATCAGGATATAATTCAAGTTCATTTAAGATATACATCAGGAAAATCCCCCCTCCAAATAAAGTGCATAAAAACATGTAACCGCGAATATCATGAATGTATGCTAAAGCAGAGATTTCAAATTCGCAACCTCCAAAGCAATTTTTATGTCGCCAGCGAATACATTTCAAATTTTCGCAATCATTTTTGTTACAAATACGGTGTGGCAAAGATTTACAGATTTTATTTATAAGAAGTCCGAGTTTATGTTAACATAACTGTCACTAAAAAGAGCGCAAATGGCGCACCAGAAAATTCATAAAGAGCTAATTAGCTTACAGACTGATATAAACTTGTTCAAAGGTTTAAATAAGGTAGATTTCAAAGGATACTTACCTTATTTAAACCTTTGAACAAGGTAGATATGAGTAATATTTATTCTAATTTGACAAAAGTAAACACGCTCAATTACGAATTGCACTAAGTATGTAAGAATAATCACTTTGTCTAGGGATGCGTTTCAATGGGAATAGCCTATTTTTGCATTTAAAAATTAATAAGAACCCTTTTGACCAATGAGCATTTAAAACCCGCGAAGAAAATAATTTATAGTAACTATTTTCCAAGCCTCATAAACTTTATAAGAATTGAAACGTCCTCAAGTATTAAGCTGCGGTAAGAAATAAAAAACTTATAAGTATTTCCCACATAGTACAGAAATATCCTGGATATCCTGAAGAAGTGCGCACATCCTCAGGATATCCAGAAAAATCCTGAGGATAACTCCTAAACAAATCCTCCAAAGTGCCTAAAATCATATCCCGGTATATTCTCAGGGCGTCTTATCTAGATCCCATAGACAGAGTAGAGGATACTATCAGGATTGTAAGTCTTAATTACTGCAGAACATCCTGGAATATCACATTGTCCTCCTAAATACGTTCAAGCATGTCCTCAGAACATTCTATCTAGTTCTCATCGACGGCGTACGGGATATTATTATTAATTGATATCCTATTTACTACATGCTCAGGAAATTCCGGAGTATCTCTCTTACATTCTAAGCATATCCTTCCGAATGCTTAGTAACACTCCAGTATATTACCAGGAATCTTCCTTAGATTCTACTGTAAATGCACGGGGATGTTGTGATGACCTAAGACCTACGTATTTCCCCAAGGATACTCTCTAGCCATCTTCTTATGGTGACTATGAGATAATAAGAAATGTTGAAAAGATTTTAATTTTTATTTAAATTTGAATTTACATTTATTTAATAATTGCTAAATATATGAGAACAGCAAGAAACATAAAATGAATCATCAGTGCAAAATACTGCAAGATAACTTTTGCTTTTATTTTTAAAATTTTTCCTCCGGAGTGCTTAATGTCATACCCCAGTATATTTCCAGGAATCTTCCCAAGATTCGACTATAAATGTACGGGTATGTCGTGATGGTCTAAGTCGTACTTATTTCTCAAGGCTACTCTCTCATCCGCCTCCTGTGGTGACTCTGGCATAATAAGAAATGTTGAGAAGATTAATGTAACTTTTATTTAAATTTAAATTCCATTTTATTTAATAATTTGTAAATATGTCCAAAAACTGAGCAAGAGACATAAAAGCAATCATCAGTGCAAAGTATTGTAAGATAAAATTTTGAATTTATATTTTAAAATATAAAAAATTCTCTGATTACTTTTAAACATAATGTAGCCCAAAGTTTAATTCTTCAATATATTCATAATTGAGGTATTATAGAAAATGAGTTTTTAATTTCAGTTAACATGCATTCAGAATTAAATAAAAAATCTAACTATTTAATAATCTACAGTTTAATGAATTATCTTTCTCTATTTCGTATGAAAGTATGTGTAGTCTTTTGGCGAAACTTTGTTGGAAAATTACTAAAAGGAATTTTTAAAACAATCAAGTCTTATCTATGGAATAATAAAATATATATAAGTACTTTTGTTACGGGAAAATGTTGCAGGCTTCCTTATATATTTGATATTTTTTTTATTTTTGACTTTGCTAACAGTCTTCTACATACTGAGTTAAATAACACGCCGAACAAGGGTTTTAACAATAAGAATCTGCTTAATATTCATAAATTTGCAGAACTAGTTTTGAAGGTTTAATTTTTTTCTGCAACAAAAGTACAAATGATCGCAATGAAATGTTCTCTGCACTTCTGCAGCTGAAGAAGTTTCTACAATAAACTTTTGAAATTAGTTCTGCAAATTTATGTATATTACGCTGATTCTTGCTGCTTTAACTCTACTAATAGTCCTTTGCATTAATAGAAAGGTAACACAAGAAACTAATTTAAAACGCTATCTTTATTTTGTACTTACTCTACACGCACAAGAGGAAAAAAATCTGAAAGTCTTTAGCTGTAATATACGAGTGTGCTGCAAAAAGTCTTTCGACATTAACAGTCGCCCAATAATGCTCTTTTTAATATGGTTTATCAGTAAAGTTTATCAACACAGATGGCACTGGGGATGTTAACTATACATTGTACAGGATACAAGCAAAATACATTTTTAGACTAACATGGAAACGTTATATATCTTCTGTATATCTGAAAAACGGAAAATGCATAACACAATTCTCTGCAAATATTTAATGTTTTCAGTTAGATAAATTATGAGTTAAATGCATTTTCATTTAAACCCATCAGATTAAAAATGTAAAAGAATGTTTTTGAAAACTGCATTTGTTGCTTTTAAATAGCTTAGTTTGTTAATCAATAACATATTAAATTTGAATAATAAATATAAATATAAAATTAAATTAAATTTGACGAATGGCAACACACTTGAACGAAACGTGAATCAACGAATTTACAGTGGACGACATAAAAATCACATTTCTAGAGTAATAGCCCTTTTACGCTTAAAAAAGCATTCTGAAAATAATTTTCACTGTTTCAATGATAATAGTTAACGAAAAATTCAATGAAATGAAATTTGCCAGTTGAAGTCAGTCCCAAATTAAACTTTGTAAAGCTTGCACCTGCTAAAGGTTATCAAATATTTTATTATAAAACCAACAGTAAATTTCAAAGCAAAATAAAATAGTAACTGTCATTTATATGACAATGATCGATATAATAAAATTTTAAAATTTAAATATGCACTTTACACTGTACTGTAACTGTTTACCACGCACCATACTTTAAGATGTACTGTATGTTTACCATAATGCCATTTTATTCTGAAATCAACTTTACCAATTTTTAATATTTCTGAATATATTCAATTTAGTCTTTCTGCTTAATACACACAATGTAAAATTTCCCATAAATATATTAAATAATTTTATTTTGATATGATCTGTACCCAACTCTCAATGCTTACAACAAACAATATTTTGTTCATTTTTCATTCAGTTTCAAAGCAGAAAGGAAATATGTGATTTTTTATAGTGAGAGTAGCATTGTTTCCTGATCTTTGATCATATATAAAAATGCAGTTAATTATAGTAAACAAATGCTAAAAATATTTACGCTTCATTTATGAAATGTTTCTTAATTCATTACATGCAAACGTATAAATATTTCATATATAATATTTT